CAATAAAATTACATATTGTATTTATTTACATGTATTCCCACGCTAAATGAAAATTTGTTACTAACCACTAGAAAATGCTACATAAACTTAATAATAAAGAAACCACAAATAAAGCAATTGCATTCCACTATCCAACTCTTACCATTCTGCAACAGAATTAGACTAAATGGAACCAAACACACAACCACCTCTTTGCTTGGTCTCAGTCAGCGCAACTATCTTTCAAACAGTCCATAGCTTGACTTACTTTTTGCTAAAACTATTGCTCTAAGTGTTTCTAATTTTAATATCAACCACCACTTATGCTTGAATTCAAATTAACTTTAAATATCCTTATATGTAAGGTAGTATATTTGCGTCATATTGTGAATAAGGTTAATATTTTAATATTTTCCGTCAAATCACAATTTTAATAACAAATTGGAACGTTCCAATTTGTAAATCGATCATTCGATGCGGAACGTGAAATGATATTTTAAATATTTTATATTTTATTATCTTATTAAAATTGTGATTTGACGGAAAATATTAAAATATTATCCTTATATGTCCTTAACACTTCAGTGTGTACATACATTTATCATGTACATCATGTACGTCTTACTTTACAGTATTTTACTTAATTGTGATTCACCAAGTGTTTTCAATGAAAACTGTACTCTATTGCCTCTGTCATTCAAAATATCTGTCATTATATCTCAGGCTATAAATCTAGTCACTTTAAAAAAAATTCTTCTCTTCTGCAATAGTTCTCCAACTTTTTAAAATACATTATAAAGAAGATAACTCAGTTTTCTAGAAGACAAAAAATCAATTTTTCTGAAGACCACATTTTTGTCTCACTACTGGTAAACATCACACCTCATCACAGTGTGTTCAACATTTACATTCTGTATACATTTTGACTGTTCTATCAGCCTTTCCATGTGGGGTCACTTACACTGCACAAATTTAATTTTTTTTTAAAAGGAGCCATGTCTGACACAAATTGAGAACATTGTTTATTTTGACACCATTTATTTTTTGATTTACAGTTAAAACCATATTCTGGACTTCTGACTATTCTGTTACAGCGTGTGTTTAAGAAATCAAACAATTCAAATCATACAATTGGAATGTACTGAAGAATTAAATGTGACACTGATGTCTGTTCAAAGGCAGTTGAAAAATAAAGTAATATTACTGATACTTGCCTGACAGGGTTAGGATGTATTCCTTATCCTGTGCAAATATTCTGATGACAGTGTGAGTGGCTTTTGGTTCTAAATTTATATTAAACGTATTGTCCACCTTATCAAGTAGCACTGTATATGAACACTGACTCTCAAAGCTGAAATTAATGAAACCATATAATTATCTTCACAGAGAAAGACACAGATTAATAAAGTGAAAGAATAAGATGTGAAAACCATAAATTTGAAGTTGATGGTTAGACCAAATAAGAATTTGAAAACTGAGTGAGTAATTAAAACAAAATATTCAAACACCTCATTTCAACAAACATCGCTATCCGCAGTTGTGCTCACTACATTTATTTCTGATGACAGTTACCACTGTAAATATCCCTATTTACTGAATTAATCTTATTACCCTCTACATTGCAACAACTATGAATAATATCTCTGAAAATATAATATTATGACACATGTTTGCTATATGTAGAAACTACTCAGTCCATTTTGTACAACTGATGCATACAAAATTCTCGTCATTTAACCATTCAAAATTCATATGAAAATAATAACTGTGGATATATTAAATTTGAAAAAGTTTATTATTATTTTTGAAATTACCTGAACACTTTACCATCAAAAGTTTTGTAATGACTTTGTCCCCATACATAGCAGAATCCAGGATGTGGTAGCTGCTCTATCACTGAAACTGCTGTTCTTCCTGAAGTCGCAATATCAAATGGTAACACACCTCCAAGAAGCTGGGACCAGCTCGAAGTGTTGCTCCAATTTTGATAATTTATTGAATTTAATGATCCATACTGGAACTTTCCTGGTAGACCATTACCAGGTAACATTTCAATACCGGCCTCTGAAAAAACAGTAATGAATTAAGTCAATCTATTCTGTTAACTGTGAGCACTTCAGATTGGACCATAGGATTACATCCTGTACTTTAAATATCAAAAACAAGTCTGTTGTTAGGTCATATAAATCTAAAGAAAGACTGAGATCGAGTTAAGAAGAATGTAAAGACCAGATGTTCTTTCCTGCTATATGTGTAGTTGGTGAAATATACTCAAACCTGTTTACAGAATTATGATGTACCTGACTAATAAAGTAGACGGTACTGTACAAGAGCTTACCAAAGATACACTGTGGGACAGGAGTGGGGAGAAATGTTCCCGCTGAGTAGAAACACACATACTCAGAGGCAGGCTGCTCTTGAAAATGAGACCCAGATGGACAACTGATATTGCAAGTGACACTTGTATCAGATCCCTTGCATTTATAGTTTCCATTAAATCCAAGCTTTTCTACAGAGCAAACTGAAGTAGCTGTGAAAGAATATAAACCATTCTTGTATAAAGTTATAGCATTCTGTATTTATGACAAAAAATATCTCGCGTTGTTGCATATTGTTCTTTATGAGCACAGTAAATCATCTGCAATGTTTCTGAATGACAGAAACACCTCCTTCAGTGTCTGAAAGCAAACGAGGGGAAGCAAGCAATTTAATTTAATCTGCAAGCATTATGACATGTATGGTGCTGTGACTGCTATGAAACTATTTCCTACCCCTGCTGGAAAACATTCCACTAAACACCAAATAGTCCAAAATGGAAGGTGATAGTATACTGAACCAATCTAATTTATTCCTTTCACCAGTGTTCTAATCAATGTTGGCAGTGTGAAGCCTAACTTCATATAAAAAATATGAAATACCACTCCAGATAATAAATGACATCATCTGATGGAATTCTTTTTTCATTTCTCCAATAAACAAATTATCTAAAACATGCAATATTACATCAGACACTTTTATATAACAACTTTCCTATTTTCCTTAATTTAGTTTAGTGAACACGTCAACTCTCCAAAACACTGGAAAGCCAGCAGAACTTAAAATGGCATCATCACCCAAAAACGAAAAGACAAAGCTCATAATCCATCACATACACTCACCATACTGACACTGAGGACCTCTGAATTCTTGCGGGCACTGGCACACATTGAAAGAGAGGCAGTTACCTCCATTCTCACATGGTGGTTTGCAAACAGCTGGAACAAACATCTTATTTTCTAGCTGCACACACAAAGTCATTTATAAATAAATTTAATTCTTTGCAAGAACTTGATTTTAAATGTTAGTCAGAGAATAGTGATATAAATACATGCAACAAAAAACACGTTGCAATTTAAAAATGTTAAAAATACATAGGAATATTCAAACTGTTGGACAAAAACAGAAAATCCAAGTATGATATTTTAACAATAAAATCATCTTTTAATACCTTTCTGAATAAAGACAAATGATATTCAAGACAATCACAAGTATTTTATCTCTGAACAATAGTAGTTATGTTGGAAGAAATTAAAAACATTTCATTTTTAAATTCTGAAAAGTGTTGGGTAATGGTTTAAACATGAAATGTGAAATGGTACAATGAATGAGATAGTTTAACACTTAAGTGTATTATAAAATGTCAAGTATCTCATTGAATATAGGAAGTTATAACACAATATGGTTACTTCAACTACATCTGTCCTTCGGGTTTAAATTGGATGTACTCAGAGTGTTGAAACCTTCTGTGCACTAAAAAATAATTCAAATTCAGCAAACTGTATCTATAAAAAGCATTAGAGTAATTTGAATACAGCAAAATGCTGTTATTACCCAGACTCAGATGTCACAAATTCTTATGACACTATAGGACTTAACATAAAAGAGTTTGGGAAATACAAGCAACTAAGTCTTTTACATACGCTCGCAATCAGGTATGCTCTTCCACTCTGGCTGGCTTGGAATCCAAGTTCCATCACGACATATCATGTTTGCAATGGCTGATCCATCTGGAAATTTGTGACCATCTGCACACATTATAGTGCATGTCCTAGAAACAGCAGAAAAAAAAGTATGGCTATTGTATTTGATACGTTCACGTAGTCAGAAACTTTAGGACACACTATGTTATCTTGTAGATTCATCTTCCAATATTTCATTGGACACAAGTGAAGGTTATGAGTAGAATCACAGAATATTATGTGCAAATACTTTAAAATATTCACTATTCCGGCCAATGGATGGAAATAAATCAATAATCTATAATTACTATTGTTACTGAAAAGACTAAAAGGTATAAATCATCAAGTACAGATCAATGATCAACAATATATCATTTCTGAAAAAGATGGAAGTTCTTATGTGTTATAAAATATATATCCAGAACAATTATTGTTACAACCAAATTGTGGTTGTATAAAAATCTGTCAGCCAGTTCTGGAGCTGCCTGCGACCATATATAAAAATGAGTAATTGTTCCGATTGACTTACTTTGAATTACATGAGCGACGAGAGTTTGCTGGGAGAGTTGGATAATTAAGGCACGGTTTCTTCTCATACTGGCACTGTGCCCCAGCATAATTTTCTGGACAATTGCATTCATTTGGCTTCACACAGATTCCATTATGCTGGCAGGGTGGTAGACACACAGCTGAGACACATAGAGTAACATCATGACTAACAGCATCTTTCATGAAAAATTTAAGACAGAAGTAAATTTCCTGCTCAACTTACTGTCTCACTACAATCCTCGTTTTAAACCAATATAATCTAACCTAATCTTGAAGATGTTTGTCTGATGAGATGTATCACCATGTACTTGCAGGAAGCTCCTCTAAAATGTCTACTAGACTACATGGTGCAACATCTCAAACATCACATTCATTGCCATGAGAACCTCAAATATCACAAACTTAATCTTCCATGGCATGTAAAAGAACCTTACGAGCATGATACGAGATGCTTTGTAAGCAAAATTCAGCGGGCATTTCTCACCCAAGTCTCTCCTGATTCACTGCTAGATGGCTCTGGCAGTCAAATCAGGATTGAGTAGAAATTGTGCAGTCAGTGGGCTTGTCACTCACTACGCATAAATGCATGCTTCAAAGACTAAGAAACCTCTGAAAGGAGGCGGCAATGACCCATTACTGGGTTAAGCTACTAATAGATAGTATTCATATATACTTCCACACTTAATTTTATATCAAATGCCACATCTCAGCCAGATCATCAATACTTTCATAGAAGTGATATAAAATAGTTCATAATAACCACTGAGAGCAGTACAAATGGTATGTATGATCGCTGACACATCATCAATCATATTCAAGGAAAATGGGTAAGGATCATCTTCCACCTCATGATTTTCAGCATCCATCATAGTGATATTACTGAGTATAATAAATTAAAGAGCATGCACTTGTAATTGTCTCTGATGGCATAACATCCACATAAATTTTCATGAAAAACTATTCAATCATTCCCTATTTATAAAATGCATATAAACAGACATCACAGATGTAACCAGGGGTGCCACGCGCATGTGCAGAGGATCGCAGGTAATGACATCAACATTGTCCCACTTCACAACTATGGACATCCATCATACTGGTATTACCAACTGTAAAAAGTTAAAAAGTTCAAGGACAAGCCCATAGTGGCATAATGTCCATACCAAATTTCATGGAAATCAAATCAGGCAAGCTTGAATTATTATAAAATAGAACATATAGCTTGTAGAACCATTGATATTTGACATCATGATCTTGGATGAAAGACATGACAGACAGACAGACTGACAAACATAAACAGGCCCATAAGGTGTCCATTAGTCATGCAACAGCATAAGAACACCTAAATATTATAATTTAAATACTGTACAATATTTTATTATAATTCGGTGCACTGTTAACCATAGCTTTATTGCTGCATATACACTTGTAAGATTGTCAACAGCAGCTTTCTGCACGAGCCTTGGTTATAAGATTCTGACTGGCAAAATTAGATAGTTGAAACAGACTACAGAGAAAATTAAGGTGAGAAAGAAACAACTACGCCAATTCTTACGTTCACAATGTGGTATAACCTCCCACTCAACATTTTCCACCTGCCACTCTCCTTCCTGACAAGTGATGAACAACTGCTTTTCGCCATTTGGAAATATGTAATTTGCCATGCAAGAAGCTCGACAGCCACTGAGAAACCAAACAAAGCAAACATTCAACCATATTTACTTTCAAGGCAAAAAATATTATACTTTAACTAATATTGTTCATTTTACCACAGATGTTAAATGTTAGCATTTAAATATGTCCAAGAACCACATTGAATTCATAATATTACAATATGTAGCATACATGAAAGTCAATCAACAACAGTTTGTAAAACATACCTGAAGATAGAGCAGTGCAGGACAGCATTCTGAGGCGTGTTAGGTCTGCTGGCACATCCTAGTTAATAAGAAAACAAAAGATATGACAGCAAGATTTGTCTGAAGAGTTTCAACAGGACTTCCTTTATTTGGTTACTGTAAAAACAACATTTCATAAGTGGCTCTTGTCCCAATACCAGGTGAAACTATACAACATAATCAGTTGAGTCCACTGGAAAGAGCCCGTTTCAATCCCATGATGATGGAAGCAAAAACACTGTATTTTTAAATTAACAGATGAAAATATCCAAGAATATACATTGCTTTATATGACAGCAGTTTGAATTTTAGAGGTCAATATGAAACACAGATGTATACGGACGTTTTAAAGTTAATGTTGCACGCTGTATTTTTTTTCATAAGACTTGCAATGCTATTTGAGAGATTTCTTTTCGCAAAAGCAGCTGAATATTTCGTAGCAACTTACTTGGTCATACAGGAGAACAAGGTAGAGAGCAATTAGATGCAAGAAATAGTGAGTTGAAGGATCAGAAAAAATCAGAAATTTATTTTATCATAAATATGAACAAATATTAAGCAGATTTCAAACTTCATCTTCAGTTCATGGCATCCACTATCAGAACAGTGAAATCATGCTAATTTTCTAACAATTCTTTATACTTATTTCATTTCAACTGAAACGTTGACTATATCAGTAAATGTCAATTATAGGTTAAGAACAACCTACTTAATAACCTGATACAGATTTGTTTTTTAATTTCACAACAGGAAACATTTAGATAAGACAAGGGGCTCATTTCCTGAGTGAAAACAAAACAAGATAACACATGCACTCTCAGATTCCCACCATTTACAAGCTGTATCCTGTACATGTACTTGAGTTCATGCATTTTATCAGCTTCCTCTGCTGTAAGTTTCCGACAATTACGCGTAAACTACTTCAAATCACTTTTAACCACAATAAAAAACCTAATTGCATAACCGTTTGACATACCACTGACTAAACACTGCTCATAAGTAAAAGTTTAAACATATTATCGAACATCATTTTGAGAATTAACAAACGTGTTTAATTAAGGAATTCAGAATCAAAATAAAACAAATAATTAGACCATACATTCAACAATCCTGTACCAAGAACAAAACTATGTCATATCAAATAATATGGGTAAATGACTACGAAAGGACTAGACAGAAATGGCCATAGCATATTTCATGGAATTTTCTCAGCATTCACGTAGAATAGTTGTGTTTGAGAAAGACCACAAAAGCCTGTTGGGATAGTTGGCACCCCAGTCAAAATTCAAATTTGTGACAGCTGAATACAAGATATATGTATTACTGTTTGAATTGATGTGCTCATCACATACAGTAGAGACAGTATGAAAAAAAAATGCAATTACTTCCATATAAACATAACCACAGTATTTTGACATGATAGTACAACAAAGGACGCATTACTTTGACTTTGCTGTATACTTGTTATTATTGTTTTATATTCTGATGGTTACAATTATCACTTGCCTGGACTGATTTCCAGTCTATCCACGTAAGAGAGAGTGAATTAGCATAGTATAGATCACACAATCTTAAAAACAAAATATAAATTGTATGTAAGAAATATTTTTCACATATGTGGCTTCCTCTAAAGTTGGTTCTGCAAAAGGCTTGCATATTCTGCCACAAAAATGAAAATCATCAAATGCAGTTTAAAAAGAAGTTGTGGGTTGGATTTTTCTCAAGAATATTTAATTTTAATATTTCTCTGTTAAACATAACCATTAAGAGACTAAATATAAATTCTAATTCACATATATTATTTTGTCTTTATAGATTCTAATAATTAATTTCTGAAATAAAACTACACGTTAATATTTAATTAAGCAATTCCTTTCCTTGGTTTTCTGCCGTATAACACATTTCATAAATCAAAAATTTCGTGACGCAGCTAACCTGAGGAAGAATGAATCCAACTGCTACTTATATTCATATAGAAAGAATTGGTAAAATCCAGAAAAATAAGTATAACACTAATTATTGTAGATGATACTGTAAAGACAAGTATTCTTCGATTTATGGATAATTTTGTTAATGATATTCAGCAATATATTTCAAATGATCAGACCTACGATATGCTTTTCAGGCAAGTAAGACTAATAAGAAATATAATAATTTGTCAGATTTACCCACAATAACACTGCAGGAACTCTGCTAGTATTATCATAAAACTCACACTATTTACAACATTTTCATATTTATCAAAACTTACCACCACTGTACACTGTTGATGACCCAGCTTCACTAGGTTTCTTGATGCCCTTAACCTCGCCACCATGGGATTCTCCTGTCTTTCGTGAAGAGGTCTTCGTCAATGAGCCTGACGAGCTGCTGTAAGCTTGTTTCTTGGAACTGGTGCTATAGAATGTCAATATTTTAATTATCAATTACTGTAAATGTACAGATTATCTAGTGAAGTAAATCTACTACAATTCTAAACTACAGTGAAACAGAGGGTAGCTGGGTCAAGATAAAGTATCTCACTTCTTTTGGGTAATCGTAAGTGGCCTCTGTGACCCCGGAAAGAACGCATCTTCTCTGTTCATGTTGCTCAGTTGGAATAAAATATCTACTGCTTCTCTGATGATCCTGTCCCTGTATTTTGATTTCTTGGTCAAGATACTACTGTCATTTAAAAGACTACAATGGCCCGAGTTAATCATATATTTATGACCAGGTACTCTGGATGACAAAGCCAAATATGGTAATGAAACTCTTTGACTCTGATCACAATAGAACAGCCAAAATGCCCAATATAAACCACTCCATACTCAAAGGGGATGCTACATATTCTCTGTTCATCATTTTAAGGCTAGGTCACCTTAATGATTAGGAGGAAACAAGAGATTTTTCTCAGTAGGATGCTTACCATCATAATGCTGTGGTTAGACAGCATCCTGCCAATGTAGTCAAAAGTGGTTTGAACAAGGGCAAGAATGACACTGAAGCAGGATACTCTGTAGGTGGTTTGAATTTCTGCATTTTAGCCATTATCTGGCTTCTTGCGATTATTAGAAAACGGTTTTTCCATCCTTTCATAAGCATTCTTAATAGTCTTCTTATTTTCAGTTAACATTTTATAATTTTTCAGAGATCTTATCAAATCACATTTTTTCCCTCAAAATTAAGTTTGTAATTAAGTTCATAACACTGGTAAATATTACAAAACTCACTTCCCAGGGTTATTTATGTCACCACCTGATGAAGAACGTGCCTGAGAAAATGCCTTGCCCCATTCCCCCTGTTGAAGAAATCTTGGCATAAATTCAGGGATTCCATCTGCTTGCCTACAATGAAAAGATTAATAAGAAGATGACAAAGAAATATGATGATACGCAGGTAAGGGATGCAAGAATCAAGTGTTGATAACAAAAGCAACACTGGAGGATAGCAAGAGAAGAAGAAATAATTTAACATAGCATGGACTGATTATCAAAACGCATTTGATAGTGTTCCTCACAACTGGGTAGAAAAACCAACAGAAGTGATTGGAGTAAACAGTAAAACTGTTATGTTATCTATGAGGAAATTCATAAAATTACATTTGAAAACAAACCAGGAACTGATGAAATCAAGACCCATCAAGATAAACAGAGGAATATTTCACCACTCCTTTTCTGCATAGCACTTATTCCCTTAAATCATGAATTAAATAGAATTAAATTTGGGTGCCAAGTACATGAAACTGAAAAGAATATATACCATTTACTTTACATGGATGATTTGAAGCAGGTAGGAAGAAATGAAGATTTGAACAATTAAATCAAATCACCAAAACTGTTAAAACATTTAGAAATAACACATAAATTAAGTTTGGGTTATAAAAATGTGCCAGAATTTCTTCAAAAGACTCCATAGTTTACAGAAAATAGTTCATAAGAAACACAACGGAAAATTAAATTAAAGAATTGGAAACATTTGGAAAGAAGTATATAAGTACTTGGGTGTTTTAATGAAACATTATATAGAACATAAAAATGAGAAGGAAAAGTTGGGGAAGAAGAATGTAAAGTGACTAAGATTGATTTTGAAAACTGAGCTGAGCACGAAAAATAAAATGTAAGTAAATGAATCATTGACAATACCACTGCTAAGACAGTTTCAGACAAGTCCCGTTACTTTGTGTAGAGTACAAAATGCAGAAAGTATCAGTTATGAATAATCGAGACAATTACGACTGATACATTTACTAAATCAAGATGTTACGATAATCAAATAGGATGAGACACGCGCCGCAAAACGTCAAGATTACACGAGTTTAAAATGCGCACCACAAACCACGCAACTCGTTGGCTATCGTACGAATGGTGATCTGAAGCGATCCACTGTACCACAGTTAACACCATCTACAGTCCGTTGATGATCGCTGACCGGAGCTCGTAAGCAGCCCTTTGTAACAACGTCGTCATACTAGCGTCTTAATGATGCCTTCGGAAAGTGGTTTAGCCCCGAATTTAGTTTGGAAATGGCATTGAACTTTACTTACATATTTTGATTCGTGTGACCAAAATACACATTCAAGTGTTTATAATTACAACTTTTGGCTACGACAGTGCTACAACGGCCAGGAAGTGCACCGCTGTACATGGCGGTAAGCTTGAGGATGTTTTGAACTTAGTGAGATTTCAGGTATTTACGGAGAGAGATGGTTGCGCCGTATAGTCTGATAGAAGTTTACCGGCATTTCGGAGAAATGAAATTCCCTTGCGGGTCACAGATATCAAATTCATTAACATCTGTTCAGCAGTTCTCAGCTGCATCACATGGACAGATAGATATGATGAAGCTGATAGGTAAATTTGTTGCAAGGTTTTGTCATGAGTATACTAAAATGTATTTAATTGATTCTCAAAAGTTTTTATCTACAGTGAATCTGCCAGGTGAATTTCATTTTGGCCCATAAGTTTACTGTAATAATCCTATATGACATATACTTAACATCATGAAATGGTCTATATAAAGAATGCAGTTGGAAATTCTATATTCCAAAATGAAGTACTCCTTGCCACTGTTGTTAGAGTTAAGATTTTTCATTGTTACATACATGAAAGTATGTCAACATGAAAACATTTTAGTGTTTGTCTTATAACTACAACATTTCATATACATTTTTCTTGATAGCTATGTATTTTAGTGGATGTTGTAACCGATATGAAAGTACAAATTTGTAAAGTCATCAACTTACATTTCTCCATCTGAATTCTTGTCATCAGCCGTGACAGGGTACTTGGATAGTAAATATGTCATGATGACAACCATACTCAGCTGTTGCCACTGCATCCTGTACCGTGACCTAGCCACTTCCATGTCTCTCTTAGCCAGGGCTCATGCCCTTATCTAGATACAGGTTAGATTTTATATAAAACCAATTTATTTTAGAATTATCCCCCATCTTTAAAAGCTTCACTTGTAAGGTACATGATGTAGGGCACAATTTTCCCATTTTGATGAATGTTATTGTCCACTGTTTGGTTACAACAACAAATAAAAACTGATAGACTTGTATAGGCACAAATGTATCAAATAGTGGTTCAGTGAGCACCCACAAGTAAAAAGGCAGTCTTTTTTTTAAGAAAATATTCACATTACAAGACTTGGTTATTGTCAGAAACTCTTAGAAACACACTCCCAGTCAGTTTAAACTATCTCCAAAACTTAAATGCACTTTCGGATAAATGTGCAGACGAAATTCATCTCCACATTCTCTTGAGAGTCCATCTGAGCAAGCACGACTTCAGAAAACCGTGAATGTGTCTCTCATCACACACATGCTTTTTAGGATAGTTTCACAAGTGAAATAAAAATGTGTGAACAATATTAACTGATGTACACCAAGTACCTTAAAACTAACAAATCTAAGTAGATTATCACTTGAGAATTTTGATGTATTCTTAGCCTTAGTAGTTGTGGAAATGAGCAGTCACATCCACAAACCAAGTTTTCTTTATCACAAGAGAAATGGTACCCACAGTACACTGGATAAACCAAAGTATCTTACTGGGCACCATGGTGACGAGAAACGTGGTGAATCCCACTCATCAAGCCGTTATTGCTACCAATCCAGTGAACTCATTTCACTTTTACTATAATCAAAGTTGAGGTCGAAGCTTGGCAAATGTACGTAAAATTGCAAAATCAATCACAAAATTCATTCCTTTCCTGTTGTTAATTCTTCCATTTACATCAAAGTCATGATGTGATAAACCTTTACTGTACACGAATTAAGGATTAAACTCTTTATTACAAGGCTGCAGGTCTACATTTTATCTGCATTCTTTTCATGAAATATGCTACTAGCAAAAATGGGGAATAACAGACTTAAAATTATGAAACTATGTATGAAGGGTGCTAAGTAAAGGTGGCTTTCATGCATAAACTACAGTATTAAATGTTCTTATATTTTGAAGGTTTTAAAAAAGCGTATTTCCATAAAGAAAACATTGTTTTCATATACGCATGTGTTGAGACACAAACATCTTGCATTGGTTATCAGTATATTATGATTTAATTACTGATATTTACCAAATTTTATATTGGTGTTGTGAGTGAAATTGTTTTATAAAAGTTGATGAAACAGACAAAAATTGTATGTAGGTTGCTCAAAAACTAAGTAAGACTCTCAGAGGATTGTGTATTTTAGGTACAAGATAGTCATACAACCTAAAGATAGTATTTTGAAAATGGTTATAACCAGTTCATCAAGAAGTAACCAACCATATACTTCCTGTACACTTACCAGTAACACCGTGAAGTGACGACCAGGCCAGTGTCCTGCTACAATTTGCAGTGCTGCTTCCTGCTGTGATGAGGTTTTGCATTAAACTGAGTGAAGTACGGTGTAATTCTCTCTTATGGGTAACGCAACACAGGAACAGGATGTCTGATAGCCGTATAACTCCCGCAAAAATCAGCATATAATTTACAAATATAAATGAGGCCCATGGTGACGTTAAAAGCAGAACGCATTCTGAAAACGCTTGTTTTTATTCAATTCAATAACTCATATCATCCTGTTTGCTATCTAAAACACTAAAACTCAGGATATATAAAACAATAATTTGGCCTGCTGCCTTGTATGGTTGTGAAACATGGTCTCTTACCTTGAAGGATGTACATAGATTACAAGCGTTTGAAAACAAGGTTTTTGGAAGACATTTGGACCTAGGAAGGATAAAATAAGTGAGGAGTTTAGAATATTACATAACAGGGGCTGTGTGAATTGTACATGTCACCTAACATAGTGAGGATAGTGAAATCTAGGAGGTTTCGATTGGCTGGGTACATAGCACACACAGGGAGGCAAGTGGTGCATACAGAATTTTGGTGGGAAATCCTTCTGGAAAACAATCACTGGGAAAATGGAGGAGATGGGAGGATATCAACATGGATCTTAAGGAGGTGGGCTGTGGGGATGGAAAATGGATGGAGTTGACTCAGGATTGTGGCCGGCGGTGGCTTTGGTGTTGTCAGTGTTGCACCTGCGAGTTCTGCTACCAGGGAGTTATATAATTTAATTAGTACATAAATTTTAACAATTCTTAATCCAAACAAAAATCTGAAATTCTGGGTCAATTTCCATAAAAGACCGCTTTCTTAACATGTATTTAAGGTCTTGATAGAACCATGTTACAAAATAATTTATTAAGAACTGTAACAATGATAATTTGCCCATGTCCATCCTCTCATTTTGTTTTAAGGTGTTCTTGGTGTGATACAAACGCTGAATACCTTACACATAGATAACATCCTTCAGTATGTCTACTCATCCATCATCAAATATCAGGGTCACTTAGTGAGAGGATTCTGATAACTTCTGAAATTTGATGCTCTCAAAGTGGTGAAGGTGCTTACCAGCGTTTGTGGTCACCAGGATTTCAAAGGCACACTGGTAACCACATGCAAGACCACGTGATCAGAACACAGAACATGATCGTTTCTGATAACAGATTTGTGGAGAACGTTTGTTACAATAGAGGTCTAAACTTACTGAGGCCATTTTAGCCAAACAAGGCTTCACTTTATAGATTAAATAAATTATGCTTGTATTATTAAATACTGAACAGAATTACAATTTTCAGTCACTGCTGCTCAACTTAACAAGGGTTGGAAGTGCATTTTTCATTCTTCTTATGGTTCTCAAAAGGAAGGTGTATACACTACCAGATATTTGGTCAAAAATGTCAAGACCTTATAGAAAAAACCCATAACAATCTGAAAAATTGGGATTCTTATGTAAGCAAAGCAAAACTGCTCCCATCCTACACCTGCAAAAGAATGTGAAAATTTAATATCTGATATAATAATATGGCCAGTCTAGAACTGTAATTAAGTAGTGCCGGCATGCACAGGAACAGGAAGTTCAGTGATAAGCCTCCATTAAATGAACCTGTAGATATCTTATCCTCACATTCCTGGTAGGAAGTGTAGCAGGGTAAACAATCAGGAACGTTGATATTCCAATTTCCAAAGGGAAACTTCTTAATAATGCTGATACTTGGTAACACTTAATATGTGCATGAAGTACACATCATCATGACATTACAACTATCCATTCATTACTTTCATCTCCCAAACCAGATAATAGATTCTAATTAAATCTGGTACGGGGTGTCTAAAATCAAGCTTTATTTAAATTTAATTTTTGTCTGTCCCTACCGTTATATGATTATCTGTAGAGAAGATTGGCGAATAACATAAAATGCATTTCATAAAGACTTACAGCTTTCATTTGCAACAAGTTTCAATAGGATATTTAACCGAATACAAGGAAATTATAATTTATGCCTCTGTACCCTGCAATATCTTTATTGTCTGTTGACAAGTTGCTGTGTCATATTTCCAACACATTAACATTAAGAACAACGCATAATGCTGAATTACAAAGTCTCTATTTACAAGTTCCTTTCTTGGAATCAAAAAACTCTTGATCAATTTTGCATTCCTACTCAGACCTAGAATGCAGACATGTCACACTCAGTGTCTACTAAGGGCCACTTGAAAAAGAGGTGACTGTTCCAGGGGCCATCATGTGGTTGATGAAAATCATAACCACCTTTTATTAATTTCAAGCTTAAGCAAAAGATATATTTTTTAGTTCTTAATTTTCCCACAAACACACACACATTTTTTTATTAAAATGAAGGATACCACTTTCAATAACCTTAAAACTTTGCATACCATGTAGTGTATTAAAATATAAATAAGCACACAAATAACTATTAACACTATAAAGAAGACACTATTGTCATACGCGTTTCAACCTTAAAAGGTCATCATCAGTGGCATCAGAGAAATCAATTCATTTAATTAAATGGCTCGAACTTGATTTAGAAAATAAATAATGAATAAGATATTTGACGAAAAGTATTATAAGCGACACTGCATCGAACAGTGGGTGAGAGACTGACAGTCTCTCGCCCACTGTTCTGGAGTTCACAGGTACGGATGACGAAACTACAGCTTGCCGCAGACCAGCTACGGCCACCGGACCTCCGGATAAATAGCTAAGTGCAGAGTCCATTCCTATGAATAACAACATTCGATGCAGTGTCGCTTATAATACTTTTCGTCAAATATCCTATTCATTATTTATTTTCTAAATCAAGTTTGAGCTGTTTAATTAAATGAATTGATTTCTCTGATGCCACTGATGATGATCTTTTAAGGTTCAAACGCGTATGGCAATAGTGTCTTCTTTATAGTTGTTTGTGTGCTTATTTATATACCACTTTCAAGCAAATGTGGAATGAAAAATTATATGCAAAGGGCTACTCTGCACGCTGACACAAGCACATCCCAGTCTAACTAAACAAAAAAAAATGTCAGCTACGCTACAATATGAGAGGTCACCCAGTCTGAGTTCAATATATGTTTGTGGAGTACATGTGCGCAATATATTGTAAGAAAAACATTTCCCTTTAAGACCAATATCAACAAATAGCAAAATATAATCCTCTATATAACAATTCAGTTTCATAACTTTGCATTGTCAGTCAGGTACAGCTGCAATGCCTTCCATGCCTTTGCCACTTGTTTCTGAGTGTACGTTGCACTCCAATATGTGGACACCACAACATGAGCTTTCGCTACTAATTCTGTGTTACTGGGCAGTGCAGCTATCCGCGCTCGTGCATCACTTTCAGTCAAATTATTGCGTTCTTGAAGTCTTTTCACAGCCTAACAGAAAATACAAACATATTAATAAAAGTCTTGTGGCTGTCTACCTGACCACTCAGCCCATCAAAGTGAAAGCACAAATGAAACAAGACTAAAAATTGTAAAGAAAAATATCAGCTTTGTTTAAAATTATTTTACACATCACAGTTCCCTTCCTAAGCACACTTAAAAAAAACTGTACACAATTTTAATGACCACTCCAATCAATATTTCTCCATGCAGCTCATAGTAATGACAGCGTTAACACCCCAATGAGAACTTCTCATTTCTCTTATACCACTGCTGACATTATTACATGTCTGTTATTAGTATATACTACTTTCATTCAATAAAAATGTGTCTTACTTATTTTGAACCTTAAAATATCCATTGTATCCTGAGTTTTCAATAGGCCCTGGCATTTAACCGCACATGGATAAAGTAGGGAATGAAACACCAAAATTAACAAGGAACATCAAATTGATATCACTATGGTACTTACTTTAGAACTTCAGTTAATCTTTTGAACTTAATGTTCAGTCTGCTCCAGACTGTTATTCCTACCACACATTCATAAATACACTACAAGAACCCTCTG